TTGCCCGTTGTCGGTTCCCCTCACGGAGGGAGCGCACGGGGCTCGTTCCCCGTTCCCCTCACGGAGGGAGCGCACGGGGCTCGTTCCCCGTTCCCCTCACGGAGGGAGCGCACGGGGCTCGTTCCCCGTTCCCCGTTCCCCTCACGGAGGGAGCGCACGGGGCCCGTTCCCCGTTCCCCTCACGGAGGGAGCGCACGGGGCTCGTTCCCCGTTCCCCGTTCCCCTCACGGAGGGAGCGCACGGGGCTCGTTCCCCGTTCCCCTCACGGAGGGAGCGCACGGGGCTCGCAGCCAGTTCCCCTCTCCCCGGCCGCGCCGTTGCGGCGGTGCCGGCAGAGGGCGCGGGCGCGGCCGTTCCGCCATGGCGGATTACGAGGCGGTGCAGCGCGGGCCGCTGCGGCTGAAGGGCAGCGGGGGGGCCCTGGGGGCCGGCAAACGGTGAGGGGGGACCGGGGGAGACCCGGGGGGACAGGGGGGAACCGGGGGCGGTGAGGGGGGACCGGAGGAACAGGGGGACACCCACCCCCGGGGCCGGGCGCTGACCGGACTGTGCCCGCAGGAAGAAGAAGAAGGCGAAGGAAAAGGCCCAGATCCTGGAGCACATCGTGAGCAGCAAGAAGCAGGAGGAGGAGAAGAAGCGCGGGCTGGACAAGCGGACCCCGGCGCAGGTGGCCTACGAGAAGATGCAGGAGAAGCGGGTAAGGCTTTAAAAACCACCCCCATCGCCCCTCGGGTGCGGCCGCTGAGGGGCCCCGAGTGCTCGGAGTAACCGGCCCCTCTGTGTCTCCCGCAGCAAATGGAGCGGATCCTGAAAAAAGCCTCGAAAACCCACAAGCAGAGAGTGGAGGTGAGCGAAATCACCCCGAGTCCCTCGGAGTGTGCTTATTATTGTTGGGCTGGAGGAACTATTTCACCTTGTGAAGCACAGGCAGGGGGGTCTTGTGGTTCGACTTGGTGATGTCAGCACCAAATGTTAAAACGTTTTCTTTCTCTTTTCCTCCCCCAGGACTTCAATAGGCACTTGGATACTCTGACTGAGCATTACGACATTCCCAAAGTCAGCTGGACTAAGTGACTGGGCTGCTTGTCACGGGCTCTGGAGCAGGAGTTGTGTTTTGTTTGTATCAAGCAAGGGTTGCCATGTAAATGTGTGTGTTCTCCATATTGTCTAATATATCTTCTGAGCGTTTTATGACTTTGTCCTGTCTTATTTTATAGCTTTGCTTGTTAAAGCCAAATGTCCAGCAAAGGCTCCTCTTGGCTGAGGAGCTCTGGTTTATGTGGGTGCAGAGTGCTGGTTTTTCAGTGTTTAAAATGAGATTAAGGCCAAAATTAATTGCTGCAAACCAGCTGGAAAATGTTCCTTTATTTGTTCTCCTTTTTGGAAGCGAAAAGTCTGACAGTCTCATATTTAAGTTTCTTTTGTAAGTTATGGGAATTGTAAAATTCCTTTCTATCAAGTTCTTTCAGAGGTGATGTTGCAAAATGTGGAGTATGTAAAATTTTCTTAAGGAAGGATGTTCTTTCATGTTTGATCTTTGTATACTTTTAAACCTAATCAACAAGAGGGGAGATTTAATCCAGGGAAGAGAGGGCAGCCAACAAGTTCTCAGTGATGTCCAAGTTTTGATAGTTGGGGTGCTGGATTTGTGGAACACACCGAGCACCCAAGCTTGGCAACTTTGGAATATATAATCAGTGTCTCTCTTGAGTGTTGCACACGAGGTAACAAATATGATTTTGTGGACAACAGTATTTCTATTCAGACTTCTTTCAGAGGTGAGGGGTCTGCTGCAACTTGTAACTTTGATATAACTTATTAAAGCGCTGGTTTCATCCTTTTTTTTTTTTTGGTGCTGATTTACATATAAAATCGGGGCGAATTTTGGGTGTGAAGTTCTGGAAGGGCCATGCCTGCCTTTACAATTCTCACCCCCTGTGAGGGACGACACGTACCTCGACATTCAAAATCCTGTCGCTCCTCTTCAGTTGGAATATTGGAATAATCAGAATATTGGGATAATCGGAATATTGTTTTTAACCCGAATTTGGTCCCTCTTGTTGAGCCAGGGGAGCTCAGTGTGGTTCCCACCTCAGCCTGGACAGACCCTCGTTCCTTTCCGAGGTCTGTGCCAGCACTATGGGGGAAAACACCTCGCCCCGCTGTGCCAGCGCGACTGGACCATTCATTCCCAGCGGGAATAAAACTGGGGAAAACATTCTGGGACTATTTAACACGATTCAGCTGATCACGGTGTCCTTCCGCGGCCGCGGTGCTCCGCGTGTATCTCTGCGCGGAGGCGCGGCCTGTCCCGGGCGGTGACGTCACTTCCCTCGGAACCGCCGCGGAAGCGGAAGCGGAAGGGAAGGGGAGCGGGCGGGACGCGGCCCGGGCGGGCTCGGGGCGATGTCGGCCAGCGCCGTGTATGTGCTGGACCTCAAGGGGAAGGTGAGGCCGGGCCGCGGGGGCTCTGCGGGGCCGGGGGGGAGCGGTGCCCCCGGGACCCTCCGCTCTGAGGGCGCCGCGCGGTGCCCGAAGGGCTGCGGGGGTCGCGCTCCCCTCCCCGGCACCGCCGCGCTGCCACCCCCGGGTGTCCCCGAGGTGCCACCACCCCGGGACAGGGCGCTCGTGGCCTGTGTCCCCTCGCGATGCTGAGTGAGGCAGCGCGGCCCGCGGTTATTAATCTCTGCCTCAGAGGAGCTCCGTGTTTTCCACTCTTCAAATCATTGTTGGGGCGCGAGCAGCGATAAGGAATAACCGTGGGAAGCGTTAATGGCGCGACTTCGCAGTGAGATATTGGTGTTTGCGTCCTAATCAGCAAAAGTATTTTGGCGGCGTGATTTGCGTGCAGAGAGACTCGAGGGAAGCTGAGTGATTTTAGAGAGGCCTTGTGTGTTTTTCTTGCGTGTTAACACCCTTATAAAAGAGAAAAAACCCAAGGTGCTCTCTCCGTAGGTTCTGATCTGTCGGAATTACCGCGGAGATGTGGACATGTCAGAGGTGGAGCATTTTATGCCGATCCTTATGGAAAAGGAGGAGGAGGGGACGCTTTCCCCTATCCTAGCACACGGAGGAGTTCGTTTCATGTGGATTAAACACAACAACCTGTATCGTATCCTTTGAGCTGCTGAAAGAAAGGCCAAGGGCTGCTCTTATTTTCTCTAGTGACAAAGTGCAAGTTGGAGAATGGCTGAAGTCACATAAGATGAAAAAAATCTGGTTATCAAATAAAGTTGGTTAAATAAAATAGGTTATATTAAATAAAGTTGATGTATGCTTTACCTAATGTAATGTGCACCAGCAGTATAAGGTGTTTATATTAATTTTACTCTAATAAGCTCTTTACAAAAAGGTATTTCTGTTAATTTTACTCTAATAAATTATTTCCTGGAGGTTTATTTTCCCATCTCCTGAGATCAGAGGTGCTGTTAAATAATTCACTCTTAGTTTTTCTGGCCAACTCTAATTGCCCAAAGGCTTTTTGAAATGCACTTAGGAAACCTTTTTTTCTTTTTTTTTTTTTTTAAATGCACTTTTCCTGAACATCCTTTATCAGTTGTTGCAACATCTAAGAAGAATGCATGTGTATCACTGGTGTTTTCATTTTTATATAAAGTAGTTCAGGTGAGTATGAAACCTTGGAAGTAACCTCTGCTTTCAGTTCAGCCCAAATCTGACCTCAGATAGAAGTGCAAAGAGCTTCTGCATTTTTAAAGAACTCTGACAATAGCATTTTTACTTTATATTTGATTATTTTGTAGAACTATCTCCCTAACCACTAAAAAAGGCACTGATATTTTGTAGCTGAGTAGGCAAAGGATGGGGCAGAGTGCTGTAAGTAGCTGCACAAGACCTGAGCACCCAGAGGAGAATTGTGAATTGGTGCATGAGTAGTGGTGCCTCACAATAGAGCCTGTGTTCGGTTCATCTCTAACCTGGTGTGAAAAATATTTCCTCCAGAACAAATATTTTTCATCACAGAGTTCCTCCTGGGGTTGTTTCTCTCTTGAGTTTTAACTGAGGTGGGTTCCCTGATGCTGTTTGTGGAGTATGGGGTTTGGTTTGGAGCTTTCTGAAATGGTTATTTCGGGTGCAGGAATTCATTCTGTGTGTGCTCTGCTTGCTCAGTTCATGTTCTTCTTCTCCCCCTCCCTCCTGTCTTTTTGTTTCAGGTTTTTTCTGAATATTTCAAGGAGTTGGAAGAAGAGAGCATTAGGGATAATTTTGTTATTATTTATGAGTTGTTAGATGAGCTTATGGATTTTGGGTATCCACAAACCACTGATAGTAAAATTTTACAAGAGTAAGTACCATTCTGCATCACAGTGACAAAGCCCTCGGAGAGTTTTGAGCATTCTTCTGTGGGCAAACAAATGTTTGGCTGGTTCTAAGTATCCAAAAAAAGATTAATTTTCATTTTTTTCCTGCCAATCCTGTGGCTGGTGAAGGTACATCACTCAGGAAGGTCACAAACTTGAAACTGGAGCCCCACGCCCGCCTGCCACTGTTACAAACGCTGTTTCATGGAGATCAGAAGGCATAAAATACAGGAAAAACGAGGTGTTCCTGGATGTCATAGAGTCTGTTAACCTTTTGGTGGGTATCTTGAACTTGAACTCTTAATGAGAATTGTAGTGGGAAGTTTTATAGAGGGCTTTTTTGTATGAAAG